CTCTTCTTGAGCCCACCTGCATTTGCGTGAACCTGAGCGCTTGCCTCTCTTTGCCTTCTCCTCTGCCCTGTAATCCGTTGCGGCTGTAGTGTAGCTCTTCGCTCTCGCCACCCCCACGCTGCATCTAGACAGGTCACCTGAGCCTGGGTGTGGGACAGAACAGCCAACAACTTCCCGGAGATAAGGGGCTTTTTGTTTTGTCTTGCTTTTCCCATTAATGAAACAAAAAAATCCATTTCAAGCCATTCTAGGCTTCCCAGTAAAACTGTGAAAAACATACTTTTCTTCCCTTCAACCCATTGCTGTCCAAAAAAATAAGTACCTCTCCAAATACTCCTTGCTTAGGAGCCAGGACAGCAGCGACACAGGGGGGCCAGGAGAGCAAATTCAAGGACCTGCCTGACAGCCAGCCAGCCGGGATGTCAGTCAAGGAGAATCAACATTGTTTATTGATTAATTTATTCATCCAACAAATATTTATTGACTACCTGTATGAGCCTTGCACCGTGTGATGCAGTGGTGAACAAAGCTTTTCTGATGCTTACATTCTAGTGGGGGAAGTGACAACAAAAAACAACGCGGGGAGGGAAGTGACAACAAAAAACAACGCGGGGATGAACAGTATCACTGGGAAGAACGTTCCAGGCAGGCAGAACAGGAATTGCAAAAGCTCTGAGGTGGGAGCATACTTGCTGTGTGGCCACAGCAGGGAGTCAGGTGTGACTGGAGTGAAGTGAGGGAGAGAGAGGGGCCAGTGCCAGACAGGGACAGCTTTCTGTCTCTTTTCCTAGGAACTTTCCTCACAACTTGGATCTGGCCCCAGAGTGCAATTAAGGGGCCGACCAGCTGGGTAGTAGCCTGGGTCTAAAGGGCACTAAATTATCCTTGGAATAATTGGGATATTTGGTACCAGTGAATTCTGATTTCTATGTCTTGTGGAAATGTAAATTGGCTCCCATCCAGTGACTTAGAATACTTGACAACTCCTTACCTGGACCACCTGTCTCTGGGGTAATTTTGCAACACACAGGTGCAAGTTGCAGGGTGTAGCCCGGAGTCCAGCCAGCTGACAGTTGCCTAAAGGCATCAGTCACAGCTGGAATTCTGAAAATGTGTGATGCACTGTGAAGTGCTGCTCCCTGAGGACAGAGATTTATGCTATTGTCTACATTATAAGTGGTTTAATATGCCTACCGAGAAGTTGTCTGCTCCAGAAAATTGCATGTAATGAATTTATGTAATAATCTCTAACTTGGAATGTGAAGAGGCTTACACAGTTTTTATTCCAGGAAAATCAGTATTTTCCCCACTTCTGCCAAGTCAACATTCAACAGATATTTAAATAACAATTGGTTTGAAGGGCTGCCAACTCCTTAGCCTGCTCTGGGTGCCAAGGCCCAGTTGGCTCTTACCTGATGACACATCAACATCACCTGAACCAGTTGGGGACCTGCACTTGAGTGTGCGCTTGGCTGTAGCCCCACAGGTGGCCTTCCTTTGCTTGCTTTGGGGGCTGAAATGGCACTCAGACTCTTGAGATGGGACTGCAGAGTTTTTTTGCCCTACCCATGGGATCGTTTGCCTTCTGAAGGACTGAGGATAATACATGAGTGGGAGATGAGTAGGAAATGGAATGAGGGGAAGGAAGGGATTTTTAAGGGACATCAGAGGGCACTGTAAATCATGGGGAAAGATTAAGTGCTCAGTAAGTGTAGGGCAACAAGGAAGAACAGGGGCTGAGGTAGGGAGGAGGAGGAGCTGAGACAGAAAGTGAAGGTGCCCGGAGGCTGGCAGGCGTGGAGGTCCTCTGGGTCTGACAAGGCAGTCCCAGCTCCAGCCCGTCCCCGTCCCCTGGCCCCTCCCCGCTGCCGGCCAGAGTTGCACATGTGTTTTCCTGTTTTGCATTTCAGTCCCGTCACCCTCTCTCTTTTCTGCTCCTCAGAGTCAACAGCTGCTGCAGCAGGAGCCATACCCTTGGTTCCCCTAACTAGCACCTTCCCCTCCCATCCCTCACTGCGTGCTGGTAATCTCTCCTCCCAGCACCTGCCCAAAGGTCAAGGGACAGGTAAGAGGTGGGAAAGGAGGGACAACGGGCGCGTGAGAGGGGAAGTGCAGGAGGAGGATGGAGCTGAATCGGCTGAACGGAGACCCAAGAGCCGCGTGTTTCCTCGTCCCAGCCCTGGCCCTCCCTGGGCAGAACTCTCTGCCCAGAGACTTCATCCCTTCGTTAATAGAAACCCTTGCAACAGGAGTAAACAATTTCTTTCTTGTTTCACTTTTTTTTTAAAAAGGGACTGTCTTAGACATAGTGGAATATAGAAAAACAAATGGAGAACCGGGGAGGGAGGAGCTGAGCTTCGAGCTTACAGTGATGGGGAAATCAAACCATACCAGAGTTTATCTGTTTTCTGTTTCTGTTGTTAGGGGAGGCAGTACAGTTGGAGACAGGAAGGCAGGACATGGGGTTTCTGGGGGAGAAAGTGTGTTCTCACAGTAGCTCTTTGAGCTAGGCTAAGGAGCCAGAACCCTGAACCGTGTGCTAGTTCCTGGAGGAAGTGTGTTTTGGTGTTGCCATGTGAGGGTAGGGGCAGGGTGAGGGGCTTCACTGGCTGCTTTGTCAGGCACTGCTGCTGGGGACCTGCTGCCTACTTCTGAATCTGCAATTCGTTCCACAGACTGTGGGATGACTGTGTTGTCCTTAATCTCCATGAGGTCCTCAGAGATGAATGCACCTCAGACAGGGTAGGATGACAAGGGGCGCTGTTTTATCATGAGGTTCCTCCTGTAAAACATGGGGTGGGAGAGCACCCTCAGGAGATCCTAGGGGTGCTGCTGGTGCCAGGCTGCCTGAAAGGTGGAAGTATTACCCCGAGACCCAGGGTCTTAGGGAGGAATGCGAGCTACCAAAGATGGTGCCTTCCTGCCCACGGGGCTAGGCAGTGGTTGAGAAAAGAGGGGCTTCACCTTCTTTGTGAATGGCAGCCTTCCTTGCCCAGTTTGGTGTGGGCCGACTGAAGCAGGTTAGAAAGGGGATTTCACTCGTAGTACTTCCTGGTGCGACCACTAGGGCATGCTGTTTGTTGGAGCATGCGTTTCATCCCCTGGCAGGTTTGTCTCAAGATTTGGTGACGGGCACTTCACTTTCAGATACCACCAATCAGGAAGTGCTTGCACGCTTCTCTCCCTGTGCACCCTCACAGTCTTCTCTTCTCTTGGGCCTTCATTTCTTTCTTTACATCACATGAGGACGCATGCCTACCCCATGGTGCCAAGGAATTTGGTCTTAAAAGGGCAGGCTTGATGATGTGTTTGCATGTGTTTTGTTTGCTTTAGAAGTGGGCACCCTAGCAATAGCAGCACTGCCAAGAGGACTCGTAATCGCCTCTCATCCCCGCACAGAATGAGAAAGTGAAGGAGTCGCCAGGAAAGATGAACAAGCTTTGTTGGAGCTGTTAGCCTAGGCTCAGTGGCAGAGGCTTTCTTTTTAATCTAATCACATCCTGCCCCAGGTAATTCAGTAGGAAGCCACCTGGAGTGCTTTTCCTCCTAAAAGGAAGGCCGCCTAGAGACTGGGGCAGGTCAGAGCGGTGGGGAGGTCGGGAGATAGCACAGTTCTGTGCTGAGAGTGTGTGAGCTCTGGAATCTAGCCAACCTACCTCCTTCTCTACTTTGACACCCTGACTGGTGACTTAGTAGTACCTGTTTTAAGGGGATGCAGGGAGGGTTTGATGAGATAAGGTGCTTAAGTGTTTAGCAGTGTGTCTGGTCTGGATAAGTACTCAATACATGCTATTATTACAGGAGCATTTTAGGGGGAGTCCTGGCACAAAAGGACACTCTTCTCTGGATGGATTTCAGATATTTGTGAGGCTGTCTTGGGATCCCTCTCCTGGTTTAAATTAAAAGTTTAAGAGGCTACAATGGGAGGATGTAGGGTAGAGATAAGTTTCCTAGGAATTTTTAGATCTCTATTGTCTGGTTATAGAATAACCAAAGAGGGCTAGGAAGGGTATGAGAAGGGACAGACAGTTGGGTTTCAGAAGGTTTAGGTATATTTCTGTTGGTAGAAGAGACCCAGAATACCAGGTTACAAGTAGACTATACAGATAGAATAAACTATGTGATTTCCAAAAAGTGCCCAGCTGCTTCTGGCTGTTCTGGGCCTGTCTGTCCAAGATAACTCAGTGAAATCTTATTTCCTCACTTTTTTTAGGAAAGTGGAGTAAACTTGTATTTGAGGAAGGTGTTTATAGGAATTTATGCTTATTTCAAAGATCTTGGTATGTTTTCTTAAGGATGAAAGGGCAGGTGGAGTGGGTGGGAATGCAGTTAGAGGTTTGATCTCCAACCTTGTTGGAAATAGCTTTAGCCTTAGATTTGGGGTAGTGACCCAAGTTTAGGGGCAGCCACCCATCTCTCTGCATGGGGAAGGGTGGAGAGTTCTCTTAGGACGCCTAATCACGGGTGCAGGGACTGCTCTTACACTTCCTCTAATCTGAGCATGTGAACAAGCCTTTGTGTCACACTGTGCAACCTTCCTGCCTTTTAAAATTGCTTGGAGTGAGAGAGGAGAGGCCCGGGTGGAGCACAGAGGACCCAGAGAGAGAGTGCTGTGCATTCCTTCTGGGCCACCACCCTGTCCTTGCTAACTTGCTTTGGGACACTTCCTCAAGGACTACAGAAACTGCACCCAGCTGACTGTCCTTTCTTCTGGGCCCCCAGTCCCAGAGCAGAGCTGACAAAGGAGATTCCTGAGAGCGCCTTCTTATCACAGAAAGTGCTGAGCCAAGAGCCAGCTGCCCCTTTTGCAGATGTGAAGGGCCAGTGAACATTGGACCCAGACGGTTACTTAACACTCCTTTCCCCCTCCCTCACCCCTTCCTTTGTCCACTGCCCTGCTCCCTCCACCCTTCTTGACTTAAATCCACAGGCATTTTGTCTGGCCTTCCCTTTGACTGCAGGCTGAAAAGGAAGAGCATTGGAGCACCAATCCCGGATCCTGGAGGGCATCTCTCTCTGCCTGACTGCTGCTGGCCACTGCCGTGGGAACCTGCTTATATCCAGAACCAGGGAGTGAGTGTGTGTCCCACCCTCTCCCCTTTGCTGCTCTGCAGTGTCCGGTCACTTTGTCTCTGGGTGCCTCTTGCCCTAGTACCTCTCCACTTGCTTGACTAGCTGCTCCTCTTTGCTTCTCAGCTGTCTCCTGCTGTTTCTCAGCATTTGGTGTTTCCTTGCCTTGGCTTTGAGTGGCGTCTCTCCAGTGGCAATTCTGGGGTGGGGAGCAGTGGTCAGCTGCCTCCAAATACCCCTAGTTCTGTTACATTTGGATCACTCTTCTCTCATTCATACTTTTTTGGGTGCTGCAGCTATGCTGATAAGAGGGATTTGATGGCAGGAGGCCCAGAATACTAGAGATTGGGAAAGGTATCTGGGCAAGGCAAGGCAGCAGAAAAGAGAACAGCCTGCCTTCTTTCAGGGTAGGATGGGGCGGCTTGGGCTTTTCCAGGGCTGAAGACTCCAGCAGGGGGTTAAGGGATACTCTCTAAATAGGGGGTAGTTGTGGGTTTCCAGCAGATCTCTGAAGCCTGTAGGTTTGCCAGAGTAGAGTCTGTGGGGAAAAGAGCAGCACCATGAGGAGATCTCACAAAGTACCTGTTTGCAAGGTGGATTCCTAATATTGCATCTCAGTGCAGGTGAGAGCTGAAATTGAAATTGGAGGGAAGACAAGACTGTATTTGGGTAAGGCTGACAACTCAGGCTCAAACCACCATGGTTATCCCTGGGAGCGGCCAAGCTGCTCCCATGCCTGTATCATAGCAGGCCCAGATAGAACCAGGATTTAATTTTCCATTTAGTAAGCCAGGTGGGCAGCACCATCCTAATGATGAGAGACAGATGCTTTCTCCCTAGGGAGAATGCCTTCCCTTAAAAATTCAGGTGGGGGCCGTTTTGATGAGCCAGCAGGAGAAGAGGTAATTTGGAGGTGGGAAGCAAGAGAGAGGTCACTGAAGTGGTGGGTGGACCGTCCATATTGGCCCTGTGGCTGGTGGGTAGAGGTTCTATGTAATTGCCAACCATCCAAAATATATCATATATTTCTTCCTTAGAGGGCAATGCCAGGAAGCTGGTGAAGGTTTTCTGCTCTTTCCCCACCATGGCTGACAGCGTTAAGTATGAAGTGGCCTCCCAGCATGAGGCGGATGCCTCCCCTTTGGGTGATGGGGCCAGCCCAGGGTCCGAGCAGGTAAAGCTGAAGAAGGAGATCTCGCTGCTTAACGGTGTGTGCCTGATTGTGGGGAACATGATTGGCTCGGGCATCTTTGTCTCCCCCAAGGGCGTGCTCATGTACAGTGCCTCCTTTGGCCTCTCCCTGGTCATCTGGACTGTCGGGGGCCTCTTCTCTGTCTTTGGGGCCCTCTGTTATGCGGAACTGGGCACCACCATTAAGAAATCTGGAGCCAGCTATGCCTACATCCTGGAGGCCTTTGGGGAATTCCTTGCCTTCATCAGACTCTGGACCTCCCTGCTCATCATCGAGCCCACCAGCCAGGCCATCATCGCCATCACTTTTGCCAACTACATTGTGCAGCCTTTCTTCCTGAGCTGCTTCGCCCCCTACGCTGCCATTCGCCTGCTGGCTGCTGCCTGCATCTGTAAGTGGGGCTGAGGATGTGGCAGGAGATGGTGGGGTTGGGGCTGGCAGAGCTGGGGTGGGAGTCCAGCCAGGGAGTAGGCAGGAGGTGGAAAGGAATGCCTCTGACAACAAACATGTGTGTATGTGTGTATACACACACACACACTCTCACGTATTTATTTATTTAAATTAATGTATGCTTTGTGTGAAAATTCAAACAGTACTACAGTGTAACAAAAAAGAAGAAAGCAACCCACCTTTCCTCCAACTTCCACCATTAGTAGTTTGCATGATCTTGATTTCTTTTTTGCTCCTTCAAGAGATGTAATTTTGTTCTTTTACAAAAACGAGATCATACTGTTCTACATATAATTCTACAGTGTGCTTTTCCTCCCAGCATTTCAGTGGCATTCTATTCTACTTACACATCTGCTTTTTTTTTTAATGCTTCATGTGAGTCTGTGTTGATTTTAAGGATGTATTGTAGTTTATTTAACCAGTCTTCTGTTAATGGCCATATACATTGGTTCCAATTTTTCAGTCTTATGATAATGCTTCAGTGAATATCTTTTTGCACTTGCATGAATATTTCTGTGGGCTAGATTCTTAAAACTGTTATTTTCATCCACCTTGACTTTTTAATCCATCTCATAAATAAAATATTATTTAAATCTGTACATTCAGCAAAGCCACACTGCAGGTGCTGAGAGGATGATCCTCTATAGCCCCAACCCTCAGGTGCCTCTGTTCTTGAAAAATGCCCTTCCAACCTGGGAGACCCTAGGACCTTGGAGCCGCCTTCCATCCCACAACCTTGAAGAAGCTTAGACAGTCTGTCAGTTTAAGGGGCCTCTCAGGGTGCAGGAATTTTGCACCAGGTGCAATTGCTCAGTAGATCACCCCTCTCCAATTATCTGATGTCCTTTTCTTTTTCAGTTTCTCCACTGCCCCATTTACTCCTCAGCTTTCTCTCCAGCCCCCCTGATTTTACTCTTTTGCAGAGAACTGGCTGTCTTCTGTGGGGTTCTCCTGTGTTTTGTATATCCGTATGTCTGGCTCAGACTCTGTATATGGACTGTTTGCCATGCATGGCAACAGTTAGGGGCGAAAGGCACTGCCTTGTGTTGCAAGAAGGGGGTTTGCCCTGAGGTCTTCAATGTTATCTGTAATTTCTCTTGCATCACTTGCAGATGATCTGATAGGTTGTTTACTGGTGAAACCACCTATTTAGGATCTATTGGTCTTGGGGCCCTTTAAAACGTGGGCATATAGTTACATGTCTTGTGTAGAGAAAGATCATTCCATCTAAGTAATATTTCCAATATGGCTGCATTCATTTAAGCACCAGATTCTATTAATTTACCATCTTTACTAAAACCTCTTTAAAACCAATGACGTGTCTGCTTGCTTTCATAATTTGATATTTCTTTTGGTGACTCAGAGTCACCACTGCACATCTCTATTCTTGTGTGACTGTGAGGTCTTCCCAGGCCACTGGGATAGGGAAGAATGTTTGCTTCCTCAGTGGCATCAGACTGCTGGTCTGACTTCAGTTCTTCAGGTTTTATTCTTTTATGTATTCTATCTGTGTCATCTCTGACAGCTGCTGTTCCTTGATTCTGGCATTGTGCCTACCTCTACCAGTCACCCCTTTAAAATTTTCTGCTTCTAATTTGGGAATAGAGACGTATGTGCTGAAACTCTTGTACACCCATGTACACATTCACACGCATGTACACTCTTGTGGGAATACATGAAAAGTAGCCATGGTTATGATTAGTCTGCAGAGCTCCCCAGTGAGTAAAATGCACAGAGTTTTGTGCATGGGTGTGTGGCATACCTTTGAGACAGCTCTGGTAGAGTGAAAAGTGCACCAGACTTGTGGTGGAGGTCGGGCTCAATAGCTGCGTGACCTTAGGCAAGGTGCAGTGACTGTTTCCTTCCAGGCTGCTGTGGGAATGCAATGAGATTCAGTGAACACTGTAAATCACTGCTCAAGTGTAAGGTATTGGTTATTATTATCATTATTATGTTTAAAGTTACTGTCTCCCTTGGCTGCTTCTTGGCTTTCCCGTGAACAGTTGCAGTTAGATAAATATTACTGCACAGGTAGTATCTGGACTTTGTCCTGTCTTTAATAACTTCAGAGGGACACAGAGATCTGAAGAAGGTTCAGAAGGACAACAAAGATTGTTAAGAGTTTAGTGACATATGATTCATGAGTGTATTCCTTTAGCCACTGTTTAATGAGCTCCTAACACAAGCCAGTTGCTGAGACGTAGGAGAGCACTCTGGTTAGTCTAAGCGAGGACTTGGGCTACATCTTCAGATTTAGCAAGAGAAGGGCTTCAGTATAGAGCTTTCATTCATTCCCTCCCTCACAAAACATGTATTTAGAGCATGCTATGTATTAGATACTTTATTGGCCGGGCACGGTGGCTCACGCCTGTAATCCTAGCACTCTGGGAGGCCGAGGCGGGTGGATCACTCAAGGTCAGGAGTTCGAGACCAGCCTGAGCAAGAGCAAGACCCTGTCTCTGCTAAAAAAATAGAAAGAAATGATCTGGACAACTAAAAAAATATATATAAAAATTAGCCGGGCATGGTGGCGCACGCCTGTAGTCCCAGCTACTCGGGAGGCTGAGGCAGAAGGATCGCTTGAGCCCAGGAGTTTGAGGTTGCTGTGAGCTAGGATGACGCCATGGCACTCTAGCCCGGGCAACACAGTGAGACTCTGTCTCAAAAAAAAAAAAAAAGAATTAGATACTTTATTTAGTGCTGGGAGATGAAGAATAATGTGTGGCTCTTGTCGTTCAAGAACTAATAGTCCAGGGGGGAGACAGACGTGCTAGTGAGTAATTGGCATGTAGTGTAATTAGTGCAACAATAGAGGCACCATAGCAGCGAACGGAACTTTATTTTTGTGGGGAGCTTAGGAAGACTTCACAGAGAACACATAGCGTCTGAGCTGAATTTCGGAAGGGTACATAGCTGTCTCCTAGGATCTGTGTCACAGAGGAAACGGCATGTGCAAAGGTGTGGAGGTGCAAAGGGCCCAGAATGTTCAGAGAATTCCAGGTCGTTGGTATGGCTAGAATGTGGGGTGGGAGAGGGGCTGCAAGGAGACAGCCTAGGGCGAGGTGGGTACCTAAACAGGTTGGGCTTTATCTTCAAGGTAGGGGGAAGCTATTGATTTTAAGCAGGGGCGTGTGAACTAGTGAAATGATCAGATTTGGTTAGAAGGAGAATTCTGATGACCATGTGGAGAGTGTTTTTGGAAAGAGCAAGAGATAGAAGGTGGAAGGGTGGAAGGTGGGGAGACTGGTTTAGGGAGTTGAAACCTGAGTCCATGTGAAGGGAGGTGAAGATCTGCACTGTAGAGTGGCCTTGGGAACAGAGATGAAGGGATGGATAAAGAATAGTTACAAGGTGGAAGTTCTAGGACTTTTGGATGTGGGGGATGTGGGAGCTCTCAGAGGTGAAGCCAGGGGTTTGAGCTTGGACAGGTGGGGATGCTGGGCCTGCCATCTGAAATGGGGAAGGTGGGCTGAGTATGAGGCAGAGGGAGCATCTGGGGCTTCTGCTGGGCTGCTCATGTGGGCTGCTCTGGGTCATCCTTGGGCCATCATGACACAGAGTTGGGCCATTTTTCCAACAGTTGAATCACACTTACCTATGAAAGAGGCTGATGTGTGAATGACAGTGCCCGTTCATTAGTGTACAACGGTGAGCATGCATGTGTAATTTCTAATGACCAGAATGCGTGTGTTCGCTGTCAAGGCATCCCCTTCCTGGTACCATAGCTACTGGGAAACCAATCTAGTAATCAGGAAGTTGCTTGCAGGGTATGGAATCAGAACAAAAGAAGAAAGTATTGAGACAAATTTTCTGAATGTGGTGGGCTCTATAAAACACGGAGCTGAATGGTGGAGTGTGGTAGAGGAGCCAGGCAAGTGGAGTCAGTTAGACACAGTGTAGATAGCAAGTGCTAGGAGGGACAGAGCACGGCTCACCCAGGGATCACATCTGCATCAACACTGCAGGATGAAAGGAGTCGAGCTGGGGCAAAGCACCCAAATCTCTACCCTGGCCTACAAGACCACACTCCACTTGACTTCTCTGACCATCTCAAACCTCTTGCCCTCACTCTCTTTGCTCTAGCTATGCTGGCCTTCTTGCCTTTCCCACATTTCCCTGGCATGTTCCTGTCCCATGGGTTTTGTACTGTTCCTTCTGCCAGGAAGGCTCTTTCCCAGGTTCCTGCAGAGCTTATTCCCTCATTCCATTCACCTCTTTGTACAAATCGTACCTTACCAGAGTCCCACCCTATCTAAAACGGTCGCTCTCAATCTCTCATCCTGTTTTGTTTTTCTTTATAGCACTTTTCACCACCTGACACTAGTTATTATTTCTTATCTGTCTTTCCCTCTAGAATGTAGACATCGAGAGAGTAAGGGCTGTGTTCTACTCACTGCTGAATCTCCAGCACCTAGAACAGTGTCTGGCATCTGCTAGGTGCTCAGTAAATACCTGTTGAATGAAGAAGGAGGCAGGACGCTCCAGACACAGGGAAAGGCAATGTAAAGGCACAAGGAGAAAAGATGTACGGGTGTGGGTGTGCTTGGGGGATTGTGGAATATGAGGGGCAAAGGGTGGCAGGGGGCTAGAGCACAGCCATACCTTTGTAGGGGGTTAGATTTTATCCTAAAGCAGATGAGGAGCCATTGAAGGATTTTAAACAGGGGAGTGAGGTAGCTGGGGTGGAGTGTAGGGGGCAAGGCTGGAGGCAGAGACACCATTAGGAAGCTCTTGTAGCAATCGGGTAGGAAGTGACAAAAGCCTGAACTAGGGCAGTGGCAATTGGAGTGGACAGGAAAGGATAGATCTGAGAGCAATTTAGAAGGTATAATCAGTATGACCAGTGAGACCTATTGGGATGTCAGGTGTCAGCCTGTAAGTTTTGTGCCAGCAAGGGCTGTGCCTGTTTTATACACCACTATATCCCCAGCAAAGAAACAG